CAGACATGTAAAAACATTCCCCAAAAGAGACAAACACTGCAGCATAAAGAGATTCATTCTATCAAAATACCCATTTTATCTCAAGTGTAACAATAATGAATGGACTAGCTTTGAAATACTACTTATCTCCACCATTAAATGCACTTAGCTTTGACTTCTGACTCATAACTGCTGAACACTATGGCAATTCTCCATAACAACATGCATCTCAGGATGACCCATGGATGAATCCAAACATACAAGTCTTTTACTATAATCAAAGTAATAGAAATAAGGTTGCCTGCTAAGAAATGGTGATGATGACAGTGATAACAGAGAAAAAATTATATGTGTTATTTTTAGACTCTACAGGAGAATACTGCTTTCTGAAATTTATAAAAACTTGAGATAGAAGATTTCTCCTGTTTTTATTAAAGTGAACCTCATCCCACACCCCCATGAAATTATCTGAACTTTAATTACCTCCATATAAACAGAATAACTATTATCTTACACCTTATTTTTTACCTCTAGCCTTCAAAACCATGACAGAGTAAAAAAATCTCTGTTGTTTTAAGCCACCCAGGTTGTGCTAATTTATTACAACAGTCTCAGGAAACTAATATAGTGGTTGTTCTCATGATTTCAAAATTAAATGTAAAAATAAATATCATTCCATACAAAGAATGGTAAGGAAAGTAAAGCTGCCCATTTCTTCTTCGTCAAATTAAAAACATTTATAACAGTGCCTCACAGGCTTTAGGAACATATAATTTACAATTCAGCCAATTTTCATTTGTTAAATGCCCATTCCATACATCCTCCCTTCTGGTATGCCCTGCAAAAAACAGAAAATACTCAGTATCTACTTTTAAAGCACCTATAAATTATGAACAAAATATTGGGTGTGATGATAATTCTCAGATACTCCATTAAAATAAGAGTCTGAATTCAAACAGGAAAATGTCAGAGCAAGAGAAGAAAGTAATTATATTTTGGGAAGATGTAAACAGATTATTAAACCCTGGAATCAGGTCAACAGCAGCTGGCAGAGTAGCGATCAATAAATGTTTAATGAATTAGTTAATAAGTAGTTAACAATATATTAGGATTATTAATGTTTATGCCTCAAGTCTTAGTATTCATAGTTCTAAATTAAGTCTGCACATCCAATTAATCTATATTAACCTGAAATATTTTAAATCAGTGAGTTAAATACATATATGTCCATTCAAGAATTCACTTATTTATTTCACAAACATGCGCTGAGTACTACAATACCCAAGGAGTTATGTTTGGCTAACGGATTCAACACTGTACAAGAAAGGTATGGTCCTGGACTTCCTAGAGTAGAAAGATGGGCATTACACAAAGACTCACGCAAACAGTTAAGTGTTATTGTGACCCGGGTGACCAGACAGAACAGAGCACACCTAGTGGAGCCCATGCTCACCCAGGGCAGGGCCAAGGGCAGGGAAGGCTTCCTCTAGAGTTTATATTTGCAGTTGAAATATGAGTAGGAGATTAACAGAAAGAACAAAGTAAGCACAAAGGGCATTTGGAGAACAGGGAAAGGCCCGTGTGTAAGCAGCCCCGCTCACAGCGGAGGGCACACCATGACTTAACAGTGTAAGACTGTGCAGGGGGCACCATGAAGTGCCCCTGGCTGGGACTTCTCAGAAGGACATGGGCACCTCCCCCTACAGTCCAATACAAGATCCCTTTTAGTGGGGCTGCCAGAATAAAATGGCAGACTGAAAACCCTCACTGATTTTACTCCTTCCTAAACTCTAATCAAAACTACAGTGAAATTTCTTTTTAAGACACACACATCTTTAAGCAGCAAATGTTTGTAAGCTAAAACGCATATGAGCAAGAAGTAACTAATTTAACATATTCAACAGAGCCAAATCCCAAGCCTTCAGCAGAAAGTCAAGGAACCTACCCAAGAAGACTGCAGAATCTCTGGAGGGTGGGAAGCCGGCAGTGACACCAGGTGTGCCTGAAAGCCAGGGTGAACAGGAGATGATAAAATAAGATGTGTGGGGGTTGTCTGGGAAGCAGGCAGACCCCTAGGCATGCTCCCCACTGCACTCTAAAAAAAACCTAGTGTCCCCCAGTGTCCTCTTACCATGACAGTCAGGTGGTCCAGAGTCTGAGGGGTGGCCACAGAGGCCCTCAGCCCTACAACACTGGTGGCTGGACCTCGAACTGCCCAGTGGGAAGCTGAAAATCTCCCCCTGGGAAATCAGCTAAAGAGGTAAAATCACCACACAAAGCTGCAGCCCTCCAGAGTCAGCCCCGACCCACCCTGCACAGAGCTTTCTAATCCCCTCTCTCACTCAGATTTTCAGATATGTGAGGAAAGACAGAAACCAAAAGCAACGTGGAGGAAACAAGTTATTCAGGGAGAAAAAACTTTAAACATTAATTCCAACAAAATATACTCATGCCTCTAGGCTGTAAGAACAGTAGGCTATGTACAGAGCACTCAGAGAAAAGACATCAAACACGTGCTCGTAAAAGCGTGAGAGCACAAATACGCTGGGAAAATTTCTGACAGTGGAGCAAATGCACAAGGAAATGAAAAATAGAATTGAGGGAAAAAAAAGTAAAGGCCTATCAGGACTAAAATATCCACACAGCCAAAGACCAAGAATAAGTGAGATAAAAAAGGAGGTAGAATACATCATTTTAGAAGAAATATCCCAAAATGAAAAGCAGGAATTGCAGATACCCCAAGTAGCCAGCATGAAGATTACTTTGGTATACCCACCAAATTGTGAAATTTATAACAGTGGGGAAAAAAAGCATCAGATTCCAGAGAAGGAAAGAAAGAATGGAGCCATACCTCTACATTCTTAAAGTGACAGCTACACTCAAGTGACATTCTATACTCAAACAAGCTATCGGTGAGGCATGAGGATGGAATAAAGACATTTTCACTCATGCAAAGTGAGATGAAATGCTGGAGGCTACCATCCTGAAGGCGGTCTGCCACGTCTCGCCATCTTTACAACCTGAGGACAGAATGCCCAAGTGAGCCAGCCCGAGGCGGGTGTCAACATGTGGCTTATTTTGACCATATGCTAAGCAAGTTCCCAGTCTGCTCTAGGTCCAGTCTCCTGAAGCAGACAAGAACATTCAATTCGCTGCTCAGAAATGTGTATGGGTCTGTCCCTGGAACTGGAGCAACTGGAGCAAGCCATAAAAGCAGAAAATACAAACCCATGCCTCCTGTCCATACCTGCAGTTCATGCGACAACGTTGGCAGATGACCTGATGGTGACAAACCCTAACTTTCTTAAGATTGGCTCATGGCTTTGCCTACTCAGTCCTCTTATAAACTGAGGAAAAGTGAAGCCAGCTTATGACCCAAACACTGTCCAGTTCTTCCCCTCCAAAGGGCAGGTAAACCGCCTCTACTGCAAGCACTAGGGTCAAGCTTGCATCTTACTTGGCTAAAAGTAAATAACAGAACACAGGAAAACACACAGGTAGTAACACTACAAAGACAAGCAAGGAAGTGATTAACACAAAAAGCAGGGTGCTGGGCAGCCCAGCAGAGCCAGGACAGGATGGGGAAGGCTGTGTGGCAGGCAGGCTTCTGACTAACCAGCAGCCAGACAAGAGGGTGGGTGTTTGCCTTTTCTTTATTTTATTTACTCTTTGAACTCCTCGCATGTGTATAATCTATTTTGAAATAAATTAATTTTTTCAAGGGTGAGGGACATTATTAGATTTATACATTTAAAATGTCGCTAAGGCCGCAGTGGGGAGTGTGGACACGGACTGCAGGGGTGAAGGGAGGCGTAAGGGAGGTGGCATCGAAAAGAGGCAATGGAGCAGCAGGTTACAACAGAGGGAATGCTGTTTATCTTTACTGGTGTTGGCTTTTGCAGGGGGAGGGTATTATTAGGAAAGGAAGGGAGGGAGGGATGGTAGAGGGAAGGGAAGTATTTGGTCAGTTAGCAAAAAAAAACAGCAACCTACCACCCGCACTGCTTATCGCACAACAGCATGTTGTATGCACAGTGTCCTCCAGCCCAGGAGACTCCAAACACTGCACAAGCCATCACCCAAATAAATGGCAGAACATAATTCTATAGCTAATTTCGAAACAGAGCTTTATTAAGTCCAATCTGACAAACAAGAAAAGTGCTGACAGGTTTGCCAGGATGGGTTAAAATTCTGAGGATTTCATCGTAAGGAAATTCAGGAAGCCACAGCCCCGCCTAAGCCTCACACTCTTGGCCGCATGTGGCCCCTGAACACCATTTTAATTCCACTTTCCGCATGAATCCTGTGGCGCGCTGCAGAAATGTGGCCTCTTGGAACTGCAACGCAAGTTCACGTCTGTCCACAACAGCCCCATGTAGAACTGTTTAAGGAAACGAACACATATTCATGTTCCAAGTAAGAGGAGCCCGTTTTGTGATTTCCTCTGACCTGTATGGATCATTTCCTGCCCAGAACTTAATATTCTGCCATACAAGTTATAAGCATAATTTTAGAAGTGTTAAGAACCTGACTGATCCATTTCATGCTACATGTTCTTTCATCTTCTGTGGGCACCAAAAAAAAGGCCAAAACCCATGAGATACCCAGGCAAGTTTCCTAGGCATCAAGAAAATTGAGCCATCAAGAGAAGCATCATTTTCTATTCTTTTTGCCAAACTAATACCAAAAATAGACTTTGTATATTTTCTTTTGTTTCTTTGATAAGGGCTGAGGGAGTGAGAAAGTGAGAGTTCTATAATCATACATTTAGAGAAATACATTTATACAATTGGAGAAAACCAGTAAACCTAAAGAATTTTAACCAGTTTCTTGTAATATTGAGTATTTGTGAAGATTACATTAACACATCAAAATGGAACAGAGAACATTTTAAACATTAAAAATGGAAAGTGGCCCAGGAGGTAGCTTTTTAAGCAATGGGAAATAATTTAATGTAACAAGCTTTTTACATGGTTTGTTCTTGAAAAAAGTAGACAAATTGCTATGAATCAACGTCTTACCTTAAATACTTCCATTGGAAGAGGAAACTTTGCAGCATCAATAAGGGATTTTTCCAGAGCACATTTCCATTCAGAGGCCATCTTCAAAGGATAGATTTCTGTATCAACAGAAACCACATTAAGTTTAAGGACTGAAGTGTTCTGCCGGCTGGTTCTTTCTTGAATTTTATCTTCCTGGGATTTCCTAAGAACTTGGCATGCTTAGCAACCATAAGAACTCACACCCTGACCGCCATAAAAGGCCACCTGCTAAAGGGATTTTCTGAAGTTAAAGAGCAACTTGAGGTTCTGCGCTGAGAAATGAAGAATGCACTTAATAGGGCTCTTCTTTAGGGAACATCTGCATGCACGCAGTCGGCGTTCTCTAAGTAATTTAATGGTATAAATCACATCAGCAACATCTCAGTAAACTGCTACCCTAAATCCCATACATCATGGGGGAACTAATATTCACTGATGAAGAACTTATTATGTGGTAAATTTCTAAACTAGAAACGATTCTTGTCTGGCATTTTCAGTTATTGCTACCTATTTTTCACTAAATCTCCAAGCTCTCATATGCTAAAAATAGTCCACAGAAGTCAGACAATTATTAAAAGGTAAATTAAAATTTACCAGCCCAGTTTAATATTTACACCTGAAATGCTGCTAACACACCACATGTTGACCATATTTTTCCCCGGAGGGTTGTGTGGGGAGAGAGATTTACCAATGCAGGGGACACCATCTGAATGCAAAGTTGAAAGAAAAAAATGTGCTGAGCACTGTTTTTACCAATTGCTGAAACTGCAGAGCAATTTTATGACCTGATCTCAATGGATTTAAGACCTTATCAAAACAGAGTTTGCAGAGGGACTCACTTGAAGAAGATATGTTTATACCTTCCCTATATCAACCCAGCCTACTTCAGAGAGACAGCCAGGATATGAATATGAATTTAAACATAGTTAAAAGGCAACATTAAACCTTTGGGGCTCTATTTTTAATTTCTTGCATGTCTGCTTTTTAGCATGCAGCCATGTATTTTGATGTTCATAGCTTTTGAACTCACCTTGAGCTTGAAGCTCCTATGTTTTAGCATCTTATTTAGCCTTTCCAGACAAGCCTAATTATGGCAGGTGGAAGATACCACCAGTGGGAGCCTAGTTCCCAGTGCGCTGCCCACTGCCATTCATCGCCAGTTACACGAAGCCACATTGAGGGTTCCTAATGACAAAATAGGCTCCTCTTGTGTATATCATCTATAATCCTTTCTAGCGTCTTATTTATATTATTCTACCACTGAGAAAATTTTTTTTCCAAATTGGCATTGCTACATCAGAATAAAAACAGAGTAATTCTTCTTAGTCACTCCTGAATTGATTTGGGGAACATAGTGAGGCCCAGTAAACACTTCTGCTGAGAATGAATGAATGGTGGGAAGGGGGATGTTGAAGGAGAAATCCCACAAAAGGTCTCACCAAGCAGAAAGAGGGACCAGTTCTCGGAGCCCTACAAATTGTCCCGAGAAGGTGAGGAGCATGCCCTGGAAGCCACCACTGGCTCAGCTCAGGGGCACAGCATCTAGGTCTCAGGGAAGTGGGGCGGGGGCTATAGGAGGCAGAGCCTGAAGGACACCGACTGTAGCAGCTCAAGAGGGGTCAGAAGGGAAGCACCCAACAAGGGCTGAGACTTCCTGGGAAGACAAGAGCAAATTCACTTTTCCAGGGATCTGAAAGCAGGCTAACAGGGAGTTCAACCCTGGCATGGTTGTGAAAGGAGAACCAGGTCACCAGGAAGGATGGCAATTTCCAAAGACAGAACCGAAGGAAGGGTCTACAGATGCAACTGGTGAGAAAGGGCCCCTGGAGACCCCCCCGAGCTCCCACTTCTGTAACTGAGGCCTTGGGGAATCCCATGGGACAGAGAAGAGGGTATAAGAAGAGTGGTTTAAAAAAACCCACTCAAGGCTAGAATGAGGAAATCCAACAGTAACAGGATCAGACCCCCCCAGCCAGAACTGAGGGGGTGACATGCAGACCCCAGCAGGAGGCCACAGCCCTTCCTGACACCATGTTCACATACACAGGCAAAGTAGGTCTGGGCTGCCACGTCATCCCAGAAAGCTGTGCCTATGGGCCACCTGATGCCATCGCTCCCCACCAAATCAGAGACAAATGGATAAAAAGCCTGGAGCGATGGCCTGAATGTTTGTGTCCCCCCTAAACTCATACACTGAAATCCTATCCCCAGTTGGATTAGAAGGTACAGTCTCTGGCAAGCTTTCAGGTGATGAGAGCAGAGCCCACACGGTCAGGCCAGTGTCATTTTTTAAAGGGACCCCAGAGAGCTCCCCTCCTCCCTCCAGATGAGGGTATAGCAAGGAGACACCCTCTATGAGCCAGGAAGTGAGCTCTCAGCAGACAAGTAGAATCTACTGCACCTCATCTGGACTTCCAGCCTTCAGAACTCTGAGGAACCAATGTCTGTTGTTTGTAAGCCCCCCAGTCTGTGGTGTTCCCAGTACAGAAGCCTGAAGGGACAGAGACACCGGGTTCTACGTGATTTTTGTCTCTGTGCTACAATCTTAAGATTCTTTGTCTTCTTTCTGAGCATTTTAAGTCCTAATGTGGAGTGTCACCCCAGGGCAAGGTGTACTTCTCATGTAAGGTGAACATCACCTCAGTGTTGTCAGTGTGCTCAACCACATGCAGAAGCTAAACACCTAATGGCTTCAATAAGCAGAGAACAATATTTTGTGTGTGTGTTTGTTTCATTAGATGGAGAGGCATTTGGTTACGCTGGCAAGTTTATGGACAATAAATAGCGCCATTAAAAGAACATAAAATATTTTCTTAAAATGATTGTATTGCAGGTAATTTAATAGAGTGTATCATGTCAATTTCTGATTGTGCGAAAGCAATAAGCAATTAAAATCTGTCCTGATTCATCCTTAACTGGAAGCCTAAGTGAAAATGATACTCTCTGATCATGCCAGCATTTGGCTAGCTACTTCCCAGTGCATGCTGACACGGTGCAGTGCACGGAATCCTCTCACAGCCTCAGATTAAAGGAAGGCCTGGAGGGGTGATCTTCCCAAGGTCCCCACCCCTTCCCTCTCCACCAGGCTCTTAACAGTGAGGAAAGACTAATCTATCATTAACAGACAATGAAAAGTGCTATGAACTGAACATCTGTGTTCCCCCAAATGCATATATTAAAGCCCTAATCCCGCACTGGGATAGTAGCTGGAGGTGAGGACTTTGGGAGATCATTAGGATTAGATAAATCATGAGATGAATCGAATAAGAAGCCCGGTGCTCTGGAATGAATGTGTGTCCCCCCAAAATCCATGCATTGAAATCCTAACCCCTGAGGGTGTTGGATTAAGAGTGGGATCCCCATAATGGGATTAGGGATCAGTGCCCTTATAAGAGGAGACACCAAAGGGAGTGCTCTGTCTCTCCCCATCTTTCTCCACGGGCTCCTAAAGAAGAGGCCATCTGAGCACCCAAGCAAGAAGATGGCCATCCACAAATCAGGAAGAGAGCTCCCACCAGAACTCAACCATGCCAACACCTCTTCTTGAAATCCACACTCCAGAACTGTGAGAAAATAATTTGTGTGTCGAAGACTTCTGTCAAGGGGGTTTTTTGTTACAGCAGCCCGAGGTGACTCATACAGAAAGCAACAACTCTTCTTGGACTAAGAAACAGTTCAACAAGGATGCATCTAAACTACTAAAAAATTAAGAAAAGAGGGGGAAAAAAAGCTTGGTAAAAGATTTTGAAGAAAAAACACAGAACAAATCTAGAAGTAGAGATGAAAAAAAACTCAATTTCATCTTTTTAGATTCTGCAAAAAACATGTAAGACTATCTGCTTTCTAAACATCCAAAAATGTGAAAGCAGGCATTAAATGACCCCTGATCTCAACAATTTACTTAAATTTAGAAAACCAAATATAACTACAATGTTCTGATCACAGATGGAATACCCAGAAAATGCCGATCCCTTGCAGGACTCCAAGCACCTAGCAGCAAAGCAAATGTGTAATTGTCCCCAGGTTACAGATGAGCAACAGGCTCCAAGGTGGAGCAGCTCTCAGGGCTCCATAGCTAGTGGCAAAGGGGAAGGAAAAGCCAATCTGGACCCTGACTCCAAGTCCACGTTCTTTTTAGTTTGCCAGGTTTCTCAAGCTTGAGTCACATGCGGCCCCTTTTAAATTAATGAAAATGACTGTGAACTCCACAGAGCATATTCTTGTGCATCTTACATGTCCTGGAGCCATCCTGGGGGCTAAACAAGGGATCTCATCAACAAAGAGCATCTCTCCTTGCTCTGACCCTGTTTACAAAAACTCTCCTAAAACACCAGGAGCAAAGAGGACAGTGCAGCCCTCGCCATCTTTGGGGTGTCTTCGTTCTGGGCCTCCTTTCCAAGTTGGCTTCTGAAGCCTGGTTGATTACTTGGCTCCTAGAAGGTGGACTTGGATGGTTCCTTCCTTTCCTAGATTTTATTCCATCAATTCATTTGACAAACATTTTCTGAGCCAGTACCAGGTACTGGGAACATAGCAGAGACTGAGACAGAGATTTTCAGTTAGACTGGCTACTAAACGCCCATCACCAAAGGTGTGACTGAAGTAAGGGAGTGGGCCACACCAGCATCTGGAAAAACTGAATTCCAAAAGAGGGGGCATGCTCAGTAAGCAGCGGGACCAGCGACCAGTGTGCCAGAAAATAATACATGCAGGCATGTGTTAGGGACACACAGTTGGAGAAGGAGCTCCAGGTCTAACCCCAACATGCTGGCCTCTCAGCACTGAAGAAAAGGCACTCCCAGGATTTCGGGTTTTCTCTTGATAAAGCCTGAATCACTAAGGATGATAGGAAGTGACTGGCCCATCCTTGATAAACTGTGTTTTACCATTCTCTATCCCCTTATCCTTTCTTTACTGAAACTGTATTCAACCTACTCCATCTGTGCCTACTGCCCCCTTGACATCCATGTATGAAGTGGGTGGCCTCTTTCCCTCTTTCTCACCTCCCACCCCAAGCTATTTCCTCCAATCCAGGCCCAAAGTGGAAATGCACCACAATGATATGTTTCCCACTGGTGTACTGGTGTATTAAAATGGGCACCTCTTCCCAGAGTTTTGGAAGTCTGACCATCTAGCTGATTCTACTACCTATTTCTATTACCTCCACTTGCACCAAACAGGTGAGAAACAGTGTGCCCTTCAAGGTGAACCAATTCCATTTGCATCAAACAGGTGAGAAACAGTGTGCCCTTCAAGGTGAACCAGTGAAACCAAGAGAAGAGTGAGGGTCATTCTCAGCAATGGGGTTGGCATCAGTGGGTACAAGGCAAAGAGGACATCAAGAGCAGGCTGAAGTCCCAGCTGACTCACCAAGTATACGCAGCACACCTATCAGCTTCCCTCCTCTGCCACACACCCAGCTCTACTTCTCCTTAACATGTAGCACACGTTTTATTGATCTAAGGGTCTTTAGGTGTAAGAAAAATAGCTTAATATTTTGTATGCAAGTCTGAAATATTGTCCCCACCTATATTTCAGTTAAGAGCATTACCTTCCAAGTTTTACAAGTTGCTCTGGGTTTTTTAATTAATTTACACAAACCCAAAGGATTGGTTTCTGTTCCCATGTGTAAAAAAAAAGGTAATAACTGCCTCCTGAGCTTTTGTTCTGTTGAAAGTGGGTTTGTTCTTTATCAGCAGAATAAAATCCACTTTTTATCTTGTAGCTACTGCATTTGAAAAACTAAAAGTAACATCTGGAGTGTCTTTTCATCTTTTATTTTCTTCCTGCCGTACATAATCTTTCCTGCCAACAATGTAAATGTTGGGAAAATAACTGTATGATGATGAATGCCCTTTCCAATGTCTTTAAACACTCCCATGGACCCTTCAGTGAAATGGACAGCTCATGTCCAAAAACTTACTAAGACAATTAAGCGCAATTTATTCTTAATCTTATAAAGACATCAAACTATCTAAAATGAGTAAGCTCACCTCACACAAATATCTCCTAAGTTTCTATGTGACACTTTCCATTTTTGCTTTTGAGTATGAGACCCATGATTTTGCTTTGCTATAAATTTTTAGGCTGGCAAATATATGTTTCTCCTAAAATTTATAAAGCAATTAGATACTAAGCTAAGATTTATACACCTAGCTTTCTGCAGAGTAAATTTCTCCTGTTAGGTGATGAATCCCAAGGCAGACGTGAGTTTAGATCTTTTACTCAGAACTCTCACAGACCCTCTGTCTGTCATCATATCCCAAATTACTCAGGGTAAAAATGGATTTTCCTGGCTGCTTCTCAAAATGCTGACAACAATAACACTAATAAAATACCACATTACATGTCTATACACCTGTCAAATTCAACACAAATGCAAACACATGACATATAGAACTAAGAAATTTTTTCAATTAAAGCCCCTGAGTAACAGAAAAGGGAAATATAACTCCTCAGCTTCATGTACTTAAAACTAACACTGGCAACTGATATGAGAGAAGGAATCTCAAGCTATTTTAATAAAGCAAAGAGCCAAGTCTTTGCTTCCAGTACTTGGGAAACTGACCAGAATGAAAATCAGCAATTTCTAGAAGAAATGAGTATTTCTTCCTTGGCATCTTTAATTCCATAGACTCCAACATTTTTGTTCTGAGGATGTCCATCAAAAAGTAAAGTTACCAGGGGGGATGGGATAGAATGGGCGAGGGACCTGGGAATTTGAATTATAACACATTCCCCTACAAGCAGATGACCTTGGATAGGAACTTAGGCCCAGTCTCAAATCTTCTCAGCTGTAAAAAGGAAATATTCACACCAAACACACAGCACATTTTTGAAATCAAAATAAATAAAACAGCAGATGTGAAATCACCTGGCAGGTAGTAAACATTCAAGAATGGTTAGTTTGTAAACACTGAAATTTTCTCCCTGTTACGTATGTCAGAAAGCATAATGCACTATCCTATACAATTAAGTCTGAGGAAGGTCATTTGACAGTGCACCTGAAGCAGATTAAAATCTATGCTGTGCCAGGATAAAAAGCATAATGATTTTCTCTTTGCTATTTCCAGGACAGATCATATATGATAAGCATTTGGTTTGGATATTCAGATGGATGGATGGATGAGTAGGTGGGTAGGTGGATGATATAGGATGGATGTGCCAATGGATGGACAGAGATTTTGGAACCTAACTGCAAGACCATCAAAATTCCTAAAGAAAAAGGGAGAACACAACCAAGTCTCAATCTATTGTGTCTTTCATTTCTGAACCAGTGATTCCAAAGGAACTAGATTGACTTCTCCACAGACTCCAACACTGCTTTCTCCCTCCAGGACACTGTTCACTGAGGTTTTGAGTTCTATTATTTATAGAAAGTATTCTGAAGTTACAGTGCTTAATATTTGCATACAAACATGTACAAGATACCACACAGCTACTATATTTTCCAGAGACATATCCAGGAAAACATCACATCATCATCTAAAATACTGCACAGGAGCAAAAGCTCTGGCCCTTACCTGAAGGTGGGTCCATTCTGTATTTACTCTCTTGACACCAACCAACTGGTCGAAGTCTGTAATCCAAGTAAAACAACCACTGGTCATAGGATTCAGTGTCCTCCAATCCCACATAGCGAAGGCGTAATCTTCCTCCAACATTTTCAATCACACTAACTATCCAGTACTGAAAAGGGTTCTGAGAATCCTGAAGTTCTATTAAGGAATCAACTGTAATGAGGTCTATAGGGCCTTTCCCTCGCAGAGGCTGTTTAAACAGAAGCAAAACTCCTTATTTTAAACTTTATTTTAAGGTTCTCATGGAAACAGATGACAGCAGAAGATAATATTTTTTCACACCATCATCCAAGCTATTGGCAAACAGTCTGGTGTCTCCACCCCCACCCTTTCCCCTGCCCCCACCCCCTCCCCGTCCTGCTCCTCCCACACACACTTCCATTTTATCCAACTCTGCATCCAACAACAAAAATCACAAGCAATTAGAAAATAACAGTTTTGCTAAATTCTCACCAAACAAATCACCCTTCCCAGATAAAATTGCATTTGTTAGAAATAAGTGTGCATTGAAGAAGAGTTATGACCAAATTTGCCTCAAGATGGAAACACATGGTAGCAAAATGTCTACTTTTCCAATAGACAGATGTATCTACTATAAGGCTATCAATCTATACTGTGACTCAGCACACTTTTATCTTACAATGGCCACCACTCTAATAATCAAGACCCTCTCACACTCTGATTAGGTGAGTAAAGCGCATGTGTAGATATGTCTAATGCACATTAATGATTAGCTAAATTAGACTATTATGTAAACGTACTTCTACACATAACTCAACAGTTGGTTTAAAGAATGCACATAATTACTGCCCCACGTAAGCAGCCTTCTTAGCATATGTTAACACATGAAAAGGGTGTTTGTTCAGCTGGCCTTTGTAGGCAAATATGTCAAAAAAAATGAACAGAGTAAGACAATTTGTCCTTTGGAAAGGGTGAACAATCATCATTTTGATTTTTTAACTAAACAATTAAATCAGTAGCTATTAAGATATACATATACATCAGGCAAAATCTTCACAAAACCAAATCATGTAACTGTATGTTAGGCAGTGGTGCTCCAAAAGTATCAGTACCATTGATGAGAGGAGGGAGAATTACGGTTACCGTTAAAAGGATAATGAGTGTCAAAACCTGCATCACATTCCTTGTTATTCATTGTGTTTTCCCCTTTTGGGGAGCATTCTTCAAACAGATTTGGTAACTCAGTAATTACTTAGGACAGTATCTTTCTCATCCATCCTGTTCCATAATATGTAGTAAATATATTTAAATGTTTTATCATAAAATTATTTTTAAATGAACCACCAACACTGCAGATAAAACTTTTTCTTCAAATTACTTTAACCACATTTGTATATAGTTGGCCAGTTCTCCTGTTTTTATAAGGGAGGCTAATTCAGTTACTACTTAACACTATGCATGTTCCTATCTCAAGGTCATGCATCCAAAATGGTATAGTTAATGGAATCATTTATCAATATATTCAATACCATACTGGAGCACATACATGTTCAGTTGTCCCCTTTATGAAAAAGTTATTCTACAGGATTTTCTTTACATTCACTAGTATAGGATAGAGGTTTATATGTACAGGAGTGTGGGAAGACAGCCTAACACATTATTATTTTTAAATGCATTCATGTAGAAGCAAATTTTCCACTTATAGATTGTATTACAGATTAAGGTTCTTAATGCTATTTAGTCAGTAACCTAAGTAAGAAAAAAAACAGCCCAGGAAGCTACATGGCTCTGGTATCTGTGTGTACACGGGGCCTGCAGAAGGATATATGCAAAGGTGCCATTAGGTTTGAACTCATGTACTATGATGCTTCACACATAGAATAGCTGTATAACAACAATACATACACCTTCCAGGAGGTTGGCAGGTGCTGTCCGGGAACCAGTCAAATCACGAATGAGAAATTCCGTCCAGTCTGTATACTTCTCTTTTATTGCTGGCGAGATAAAGGAGAAAAAGCACACTTCAACAAAGCAGTGGAGTATCAAATAAGTTTAAAATCACAGCACTTTTCCTGTATGTGATTTTTTTCAATACCTCTCTAAATTTTAAGCACCATGCTCAAGTACTAAAATTTCAACAAATATGTTGACAAGGGGTGACTTCACACCAACCCCATGCCTGGATTTTGCTGGGCATCAAGGAGATTGAAGCATATGGGGCCCCAAAGTCTTAAAATCTATTTAGAGACTTCAGTGAACAACAAAGAAGATGTCATAAAGTATATAATTCAGGAGGTTCTGAGAAGAAAATAAATCAATGAGGAATAGAAGAATCACAGAAAACTTTTCAGGTAGGAAAATAAAACCAGGCTCTGAACTATATAAAAGGTCCATACAGGCAGAGAAAAGGAGGGAGGGATTTTCAGACAGACAGGACAGCAAAGACTAACAAGAATAAGTGAAATAGGAGAAAGAGAAAGACAGGGCACGCAGCAGCCAGACTCAGCGCAGTCCGGGAAATGAGGGCAAGTGGCAGGAATACTGGACAGCCCAGAAAATCAATGTACACATTTTGTAAACAGGGACTCTCAGCACGAAATCAATCTGGAAATAGTTTGAAGACTTGAGTGGCCCCCGTAATGCTTTAGCAGCCACTAAGCCTTCATCAGCCTTCAGGTTGCCAGAAACATGCTGAAATTTCTTTTCTGTACTGGTTCAATTTTTTCTGTTGGTTTATGTATTTTTTATTCCTTTACTATCATTTAATGGAGTCTTGGGAGGAAGAAGTAAGCAGAAGTACTCAATTCATGGAAACACCGAGCCCACAAGAGAACAGGGCCTTCACAACAAGGTATTGAGCAGCAGCCTTTGACTTACCAGGAAAACATTCGTTAACACTAGCTTTGCTAAAGAAAAGAGGCAACCGTGGATCTTGAATTATAAATAGAAGCACTTACATTCACTATTAAGTATTTAAAAAGATCACAGAGTTCTTTCCCTTGGAGATTTTTAAAGGAAGGCATCTACATTAATTTTTCACATAAGGTTCAAATTAAATTGTTCCTACAGACAGAAGATCAGAAAATGATTCAACAGGATAGATAAGCTCCTACTGTGTATGATGGACTGCACTCCATACTACCGGGGTTCAAACATACAGACAAAATCATTCCTATCTTTAATAATAAATACACTCTAGATGACGACAGAACTTCTGAAGTCATGAAAATGACATGTATACATACACACACACATGAATACATTCCTTAGTATTTGTCATATACAGCTGGGAGGAACACGTTTCAACTTCTTAGGACTCTTCCAGTTGTAAAATACACTTGTATAATTACAAAAAGGAGTATTATTACTTTGCTCTGAAGAACACAGTTTAGCAAAGGCACTAAGCACTGTTGGAAGCAAAGACAGAGACAGTGATGACATAAGTGGTTTGAATACTGAGAATACTGTATACAATTAGAACATTCAATATCAATGCCATAATCATTAAAACTTTGGCTAGGATTTATGCAGACCCTTAAAAAGAAAGGCCTTTGCTACTTAATATTCAACACATTGCTTGGAGTTCTCCGCAATTTTGGGAATGAGATCAAGACAGTTACTTCTGTTGAAATTAGCTTATTATGGGGTCATTTGTGTGCCTTAAAGGCAACTACTTCACTGGGCAGTTGTAAGGACTAAATGAGAAAAAATATATAAACTTTCTAGGAGTTTCTGCCCAACTGATACAGTGTCAACTCTTGGAACAGTGAAGTATCCTTTGATAATGTAGTAAATCATTCCCTCTTTAACATGCAGTTTTCTTTTAGAAGAACTTATAAAATATCTCAAACTGATATTTTAACTACAGGCTAACAATTTCTTGAAATCCAAATATAACTTTTAATAAATGTGTATATTAGATCATGGACACATGGATCATTTATACCATTATTACATAATCACATAGTTAATATTTTATTAATTGGAAATAATTAGAATAAAAATTTCTTCCAGAGTATGATGATACTTCTTAGCCTTCTAATCTCTTAATTGGCCCTCCCTAACTTGGATATTAATGTTAATTTTGCATCTCCCAAACACTGATAAACTGGTACCCCCAAAAATAAAATCTGCCTTACAGAAAGTAATTCCTCACATAGACCATTATGGGAATCCAATTCATTTTTTGACTCTACTCCTGTCCCCCCACATTATTATAAAATTGATCACCTGTTATATAGTAGTAAAATGCAACCTCTACGGTTAGACTTAGCAATAGCAGTCTTAACACAGTAAGATACACCATGCACAAAGATCATTATTCCAGTCACTTGCTGATGTTTTTTATAAGAACAAGATTGACAGTGAATAGAGGATACACAATGTCTACATCAATGTGAATGTTTACACACACAGCTATTCATACTTATTTTTTAATTAGAGCACACTACAGTTCCAGTAATCTATGCTTCTTCACATCCAATCAAACCTTTGTACGTTATATGCAAAAGCACACAGATACAAGAAAAACAGCACACTTGAGATAATCATAAAACAGAATTTAAACCAGATTTCTTCACACCTATTCTCCAATCTGGCTTAAACAGTTGCTTTGCAACTTTTCTTTGTGTTAATCAAATTATTCCTACAATTCATGCAAGTCACATCTTACTGAAAAATGGCTTTACTGTATTTTACTTTGCCTGCTTACATAAGCAAGGACCTCAGAACACAGCTATCTGCAGTAATGTTCTGCTGAGGCGGTTGGGGGGAATCATGTAATCTTGTTTGCCAGCTCCTCAGAAGGGTGTGCTGTGTCCCTAGGAGAGCAGCGGCAAGCACCGCCACCATAAGGGACCCTGGAGGGGAAGCATGCTTGAAGGAGCTGCCCCCACTGCCAGGCTCAATCTGCTTTCTTAAAAGCTGCCCTCCTTCAATCTTGTTGCCCAGATCCAGTCACTCTGAGCCCTTCCCCTTTTCCGTTCTTGGCTAGTCCACCTTCCCACTGCTGCCTGGGTTTTGGACAGTAAGTTAGTGGGACATGGCCAGCAGGAAGGGCTGAAGCCTAGTTCATCTGAATCCCTATGGAATGGACGTTTCCCCTCCAGCGTCTGGGGAAGCAGTGCTGCATTAACCGTGGGTTATTTTTTCAAATAACATTTTCAAAGCTGCCTTCCCTGCTCATCTTATAAGAAGAGAAACTCCTGAAGTGAAAGCATCCCTCCACCAAAATGTACACCACACCCCAGGCCCAGTGTGTTCCCCAATCCTACAGTGGCCTATTTTTTATAAACCCTTCTTCTATGTATGTTTCCCCTTCCTCCAATGAAACCTCTTCCTAAGTCTGTAACCTATGATCTTGTAGCCACAGTGCATGACACCAGAGACCCCAAAGGGACCCACCATGCATTTATTTAGACTCAGTTGGATAGCCAGGTGCTCAGTGTAAATCTACTACCAAGTGATGAAAATGTTTCAAGGAGGGCATGATCTACTTTATAAAATGCCACTGATGAGACAAGCAAGATGAAGGCCAAGATGAGACCATTAAGTTTTATTAGAGCTTTCCACAGGATTAATTCCTAGGAGTGGAGAGCAAAGGATTTACTAGATATTGTCAAACTGCCCACCAAAGTTATGCTTACAATTTAACCCATCACCATAAATACATAAAAGCCCCCATGTCTCCCCATTCCTGCCAGTGTTTCATATTATCAGATTTCTCTGATTCTTTTTTACCAACCTCACGCATATGGAACAGCTTCTTTTATTTTAGTTTTCATTTAATTGATTATCAGTGAGGCTTACTATCACAATATTATGATAATTTGATTTCTGGGAACATACTATTCATATCCCTTGTACATTCTTCTACAGACTTTTAAAAAATACATTGATTTGTAGGAGCTCTTTATATATAGTATATATAAAACAAATAATTACTAAATATAGTGAAGCCACTGAATCTTAGACTAGATTTTGAACTACTAAACCTGGCTCAATCTCCTGAACAATTGGGTCCCTCCCTGTGATTCTTCCCTTTGCTCTCCACCCCCATTTTCTCTAAACTCTTCTCAACTCTTCAGTTCTGAGAGGCTTTGCACATCCTCTTCCTTTTTGTATAAACACTTGCCCCTAGTCTCTCTCCGGTCAGCTCCTCATCTAAACCATCACTTTTTCACCAGCCTTCCCTAACTTCACGATCAACAGTACTCTCTCCTAGAGTCCCAAATTCTTTCCATTCACAGATTAAACAGAATTTTTAATTACATTATGTGAAGTCACTTCTCTAATGACAGTTCCCACCTGACAGTCCACTCCATGGCTAGGAACCAGCAGTGTCCATTGCATGACTACCATACACACAACACCCATTAACAACTGCATATGGTGGACGTCTGATAAATTTTCCTCACAGACAAGGACTGACAGATTGGATGGTTTTGTAAATTGTGCCTGATTTATTTATCTTTTACTGAAATACAACTTACTGAATTCAGATGAAGAACCACTATTACCATGGATATTACATAGTCCTTTCAATAAAATACATTTGACTCAGTGGCGCACCACAAGCATTCACAAATGAACTGCCACTTCTTTTTGTTTCCTCTATTTCCCTGGCTTGAAACTGCTTACATATGATGGAAATTATCATTTAAGACATTCGTTTCAGCATACATAACCCAGAAATCCATAGGTCCATCCATTTAATGGAGTCGGCATTAAATGTAGGGTAGATATTTAATATTTCTCGGGAGTTCTCCTTCTCAGGGAATATGCACTATCCCCCCATTTGGCAACACTGATATTGTTTATTTCAGGCAAGGGCATCTCCCAAGAATGAAAGAAATACAAGGAACTACACATCCAAACCTTAATTCCAAAAGGACCCACTTCTTTCTCTGAAGGTCCCTAAAACCTCTCAGCACTAAAACAACCAGGATTTCCAAAACAAAAGCCATGAATACAAAAGCTATTTATGACATCCTCA